TTTCACCCACAAGACAGAATCTTGCCAGACTGAATCTAAACTTCCCAAGCCAGCAAGCAAAACACGGCAAATTCCTTAGGGTGGTGCCAGTCTCATCCTCTTAACCTTCCCACACTCCTGCTGGGGGCTAAGGAAATGCTTATCTCCCCGAGCGCGGCCTTCACCAAATCATTCCATCACAGTTAGTATAGGAAGGCAGTTCCCTGTCCTTTCTGTGTTGGTGGATCTGAATGGTCTAGTGATGTTCTCAACAGCTGCTGGGATATCCACTGACCTTACTGCCCAGGTCCTGGAAATACAGCCTGTCTGGGCAAACCTTTCCTGTGTTGGGAAGGGTTTCTACCTTCTCTGCTAGCCCACTAAGGCATCTGTACAAGATTTGCTGGGCTACCTATCCAAGGTCAGGTGCTAGACCCAGCTTTGATGCTGCCATGGGGTTGTGTGGACAGGTTCATGGATGGGTGGAGAAGGTTGTTCTGCTGGCCTAGTTTCTGCCCAAGGGGCTTCTGGAACAGATAAGTGCCAAGAGGCTACTTCCAGAAATTGAACGAAGATGCACTCGACCTTGTCTGCTGCAGACCAAACAATAAATGAATTTATGTGACCCCCTTCCCTGCCCCCCTGCAGCCTCATGAATAAAACTATCAGACTGCAACTGGAAGTTTTATTCATGGGCCAGGAGGTTGCACAGATTCATCTATTATTTCAAGGGGTCATGACACCACAGAGTCTAGCTTAGCTTTTTCACCATGAACTCATATCTCTTCTAAAATAATGGAGACCTCCATCAGGAATTTTTCATATTGGGCAGCCCTTTTGCCAATAGTTGTTAGAAAATAAAATAAAACCCAAGCATGTTAGCCTATCCAGCTTCATGCAGCACATTTCTGGAACAACATCCCCCCCCCACCCCCTCAGATCTGTATGGCCTTTATCCTCCCTGTGTTTAAAAGGTCTCTTAAAATCCCTGGCTTCTTCCCCAGGTCTTGAATTAGGGGAGTAGTAAGCTCTTACAGGATTCTCCAAGTTAGTTTTGAACATTTTCTTCTGGACATATATTGTTCTTACCTTTGATCCATTGTTTCTTGCTGTTTTTAATGTTGTATGCTACCCAGAGTTTCCATGGAGATGCACGGCCTTATAAATGTGAGAAATAAGTAAAAAAAAAAAAAAAAAGGGATTGGACTTCCCAGCCATCTCTTTCTCTTCTTAAATCAGGCAGTTTGGCTCGCTTGCAAAGAATGACAACGCTTGGCTTAAACTTCCAGCTAGTTCAGATGAATCCAAAACAGCTCACTGCCTTTGGAAGAATATTTTTGTAGCCCAACTAGCCCTGGATATAAATTTATCCTTGATTTAAATTGATTGTTGCTTGATTTTCTGCAACCCTCTTGGTCAGGGTATGTTTTACTCATAATGAACAGAAGACAGATGTTTTCCTGAATTTGATTTGTCCTTGCTGTGTTGTGCTACAGTTCCCATCATCTCTGTGGTCTTGGAGTGATGGGAGTTGCAGCTCAACACATTGGAAAGCCACCTGGTTGTGGAAGGGACGTTAGGCAGCCTCAGGTTCTGTGTTATTCTGTAAATGCCCCTGGACATGTTGCTGAGAGCCCAGATCTTACATTTGTATTGAGTGCTGCAATCCGTCCTCTTTCTCTGTCGTTCTGAAGCCATGGGTAAAATGCAATCTAGTCCTGAATTTATGAAGGACATGGAAGACATGTCTAATGAAGCTTATCACTGATATAAAGCCCTGATGATGTTACCTAGTTGGGTCATGAAACGTCTGCAAGCAAACCACCAAGCTCAGAGAGCC